TAACCAGTACCAGCTGCTGTGAAGTAAAATAGGGGTAAAAGTAAATCAAGAGAGAGGGAAATGGATAGAGAAAAAAGCTGGACATAAAGGATAGAAGGATTGGCAAGGTAGATAGGTAGAAGGAGGGAGAGAGAGGGAGATAAATAGATAGATTGAGAGTGAAGGAGAAAGAGAGAGAAGAAAAGAGAAAGAGAGAGACAGACAGAGCGATAGTTAGACACACAGAAAGAGAGAAAGGGAGGGGAAGAGACAGAGAGAGAGAGAGAGAGAGAGATGCGAGAAAATGAAAGTCAGATAAAAAGTAATAGATGAACATATTCCAAACCGAATTCCTTAGAGAAAAACATTCACAACCCAGTACAATTCGCCGAAATAATACCACGAAAAAAAAAAAAAAAGAATCAACCCACCCAACATAAAAACACAAGTACACAGAACCACCCCAGAAAAAGAAAAAAAAAATTAAAGAAAGATGGAGAACGAAAGAGCCAAAGAGACAAGCTTCCCATGAGTGAAGGCTTACACGTCGCGTCCCCATTTGTTCTCAACTTTAGAGAAATTGGGAAGAGTTGACAGCCGGCGCCCCGTAGGCAGGAAACTTCAGGACGAACGGGATATGAAGTATGAAACCCCGGGACAAATTTTGCATTAGGTGCGAGAAGGTTCATTCTACTGTATGTTTTAAATTTCATGTTGCGTTGTGTTGTATGTATGCGTGTGTTCGGGAGGGGTGGTGGATGGTTGTGTGTGTGTGTGTGTGTGTGTGTGTGTGTGTGTGTGTGTGTGTGTGTGTGTGTGTGTGTGTGTGTGTGTGTGTGTGTGTGTGTGTGTGTGTGTGTGTGTGTGCGTGTGTGTGTGTGTCTGTATTTGTGTCTGGGTATAAAACGTATGTAACGTAACTCTACGGCTAAAACCACCCATGTTTCAATTCCCTCCTGATTCAACTCGAAAGATGAAACTGTTTGTAGAGAAAAAAGTTAAAAACTGTGAATTCCACTAAAAGGAAATGTGTCACTGCAATAGACTGTTGTCAACCGTACAGTTTCCCACGAGATTTCCTATGTAAATTAGAAGCGTTTAAAAAGTTTGTGGACACCATTGGCAAGTAATGAAGGGTAAAAACCTGAAGAGATTCCAGGTAGTGAATACCATAGACACACTGTAATTCAATAAAATGCTATTAGAGTCTTTCTCATGCTATTGTTGCAGCAGTGTTCTCGATTTTCACCATTACGTGATAGATTTCCCGTGATGTGTACAACAAGATGATAGTGATGAAGAGAATACTTCAAACAAACATACAAACAAACAACTTATGTACACCATAAACCGTCTGATTAATTCCACCAGAATGATAAATCATATCTTTACAGAAAAAGAGAGAACAAAAAATCTTGATGATTTATCACACTCCTACGCTCATTATCTTTCCTACTATCACAACTACAATTATTGTAATTCCATCATCGTTTCTTCGCCTCACTCGCCGCCGCCGCCGCCGTGTAAAACCCATTTCCTAGGGCGGTCACGCAACACGAATACTCGTTAAACATCTACATAATGGACTCCCTTTAATCCGTAAAATGGACTCCTATGCCCCCCCCCCCCTCTATGGTCTCTCCTTCCCCTGTCCTCTTTCCCCACTCCTTCCCTTTTCTTACTTATCCCTTTTCTTCCTCCCTTACTTTTTTTTTTCTTCATTGCTCGTTTCTCTCAGTTTCCTCATCCCCCCCATCCTTCTTCCTCTTTCCCATTCCCTCCCTTTCCTCCTCCTTTTCCCCTTCCTCCCCCTTCCTCCCCCTCCCTCCTCCTTTTCTATCTCCTCCTCCCATCCTCTCCTTTCCTCCTCACTCCCTCCTCCTCCTCCCCCAGCACTCCCCTCTCCTCCCCTCCCCCAAACCTTCCAATTATGGAGCTCAAGAACCATAATTTGCGTAATGTTTATGTCTGTCTATATTCACTTTCGCCATCGCTTGACGTGGCATGTGTTCGAGCCATAAAACGAACGAATCAACAACGCAGCCGAATCCAGCTGTGTCCGAACGCCTGCCTTCTTTCCCGTTTGCATTAGTCAACAACCCTTTGTGGCCGCCTTGAAGGGGAGGGAGGAGGGGAAGGGGAAGGGAAAGGGGGAGGTGAAGGTGCTTCCAGGGGTGGTGGTGGGGCTAGGGGGAGGGGAGAGGGGGAGAAGGCCTGTCATTACGGCGTCATTAATTTAAACATCTGCCATAATTAGCGCTCCCTCGCTCGTTACGGCGGGGAAATAATTAATCACGACTCGGCTGGCGCGGCGTCGAACCCGGAACGCGTGTGTGATTGTCAGTCGCCGGCTGAGGGCGCGAGAAAGGGTTATTGGCGCTCGTCTTCGCCTTGTAAGAGAGTGGCCATAAATGAGGGAATTTAGGGAGGTGTGTTTAAGCGTGTGCGTGTAAGGGGGGAGGAGGTGGGTAAGGGTATATGTTCATAAAAGATAAAATTATATTGTATACATGTATATAAGAATAGATATATAAATGGATAGGTAAAGAGACAGAGATTAATTAATTCAAATATACATACATACATACATACTTATATATATATATATATATATATATATATATATATTATATATATATATTATATATATATATATATGTATACATACATACATACATACATACATACATGCATGCCTACATACATACATACATGAATACATACATGGATAGGCAGATGGACAGATAGACAAAGAAAGGAACCATCTAGCTACGTTCTCCCTGAACGTAGCTAGACGGACACTAATCAAAATAATCATCATTGCCACAGATAACAACAATATGAAATATGCTTCCAGCGTCCTGACCATCTTAAAACAGGACAACTCTTTCATATATTAGATATTAAAGCATCCTTTTGATTTCTGTTTTATCACTGGTTGAAGGCCGCAGCGACCAGCGTGGTTGGGGCTGGTGACCTGTACTGTCCCTCGCATAAGGCCTGCTTAATGATTACGATAGCAATATCAATTGTGATATGCAAAAACAGTAAGCAAAATCATAACAAGAGCGAACACATACCAACATGCACATAACACGCGAATATCAACAGTAAGAAAAGCGAGATCATTACAACCTCCCTTGAAAAAAAAAACTACGTCCCACATTCCATGCAAACTCCTCCTCATAAGTATATACCAGCGCGCCTGACAACCTCGCCATGCAAAAGAACAACGTTGCCTGAGCAGAATCGATTGCATGACCTTTGAGACTCTGCCATGCGACGATGAAAAGGAACAGCGCCCGGGAAGGTTTATAAAGAAAAGATTTGGGAGGCGGCGGTGGCAGTCTCCCGGGTTTGACTTATGAATGACGCTTACGTGTTTCTGCCGTTTCTTTTGCTGCGTTTGTGGGGATATTCATTCGACTTTCCGTGCGTTTTTTTTTTTTCTTTCTTTCTTTTTTCTTTACTCCTGTTTTCCTTTCTTTCTCACGGTCTTTTTTGCGCATGCATATACATACATGCATATATATATATATTATATATATATATATAATATATATATATATATATATATATATATATATATATATATATATATATATATATATATATATATATATATATATATATATATATATATATAGTAGTGTGTATATGGACAGAATAGCCTCACCCCCATGGGTCCCCCCCTATGTACCTAACGTGTCATAACAGGAAGTGACCTAATGACTTCCGGAAGTAATTACCGTAATCGATTACGGGAAATCAGTAACCTTGACTAATGATGGAGAACACGCACACCTGAAGGGTGCCCCCCCTCCCTTTCCTCTCCAAAACAACAATAATAATAATGAGAATACGAGAAAGAAGAAGAAGAAGAAGAAGAAGAAGAGAGAAGAAGAGGAACAACAAACAAACATGGATCCTGTTGCCGCAGGTCAAACTATCATCCTAAGAGCAGGTGTCACAGGTTCCAATACCCCAACCCCTCACCCAAAAACACCTTGGACACAGCAGCCTCACCCCCATGGGTCCCCCCCTATGTACCTAACGTGTCATAACAGGAAGTGCCCTAATGACTTCCGGAAGTAATTACCGTAATCGATACGGGAATCAATAACCGTGACTAATGATGGAGAACACGCACACCTGAAGGGGTGCCCCCCATTCCTTTCCTCTCCAAAACAACAAATAATAATAATAATAATAAGGAGAATACGAGAAAGAGAAGAAGAAGAAGAAGAAGAAGAAGAAGAGGAAAGAGGAACAACAAACAAACATGGATCCTGCTGCCGCAGGTCAAACTATCATCCTAAGAGCAGGTGTCACAGGTTCCACCACCCCAACCCCCTCACCCAAAAACACCTTGGACTCACCAGCCTCACCCTATGACTACCCTCTTATCCCGCTATGCACATACCTGACGTGTCATAACAGGAAGTGACCTAATGACTTCCGGAAGTAATTATCATAATTGATTACGGGAAATCAATAACCGTGGCTAATGGGAATAATACGCACACCAAACAGGTGTCCCCCAACCACCCAAGTCCCCCACCCCTTCATTCCCACCGCCCTCCAGGTCACGCGCAAAATTAAGCCATTACCGATGTGAGTCAGGTCAGCGAAAT